TGGCACACGCGTGTGATCCCAGCACCCAGGAATATGGCGGCACACGCGTGTGATCCCAGCACCCAGGAATATGGCGGCACATGCGTGTGATCCCAGCACCCAGGAATATGGCGGCACACGCGTGTGATCCCAGCACCCAGGAGCATCTGAAGCTCAAGGTTATCCTCAGCTACCTGGTGAGCGTGAGGCTATCCTGGGCTATAGAACCAGCTCAGAAAGGAGGGAGAGACAACAGCTAAGTCTTGAGTCACAGAAAAGTCATACTTCCCCTGGTATACTACTACATTTTTATAGGCTATCCAATAAATTTAGGGCCACAGAAACAAAATGTCCCAGATACACACATGATAGAAAAGTTAGGTCAAAGAGCACAGACAACACTAACTAGGGACTGAAATTCAGTGAGTACACACACCGAATTGGGGTGCTGGATGTCAAACCCAAATCCAGCAGAGTGCATCTGCCTGTGAGCTTCATCCCTGGTTTTGTGAGGGGAGGGGAAGGCAGCAGTGTCCAAGGGTTCTGCTCCAGTGGGTCAGGGAGAACCCTAACCCTCCAGCATGGCTCCTGCCTTTCTGTTTCCTTCGTTAGATTGTTCACGCTTTTCTACATTTAGTCAATTTTTAATTCTTAGTTCCCATGAGTCCAGCATTAGGTTCTTCTGTTTTTGTTTGTTTGTTTTTCTTGTGAGGGGCTCTCTCTATTGTTACTCAGCCTGGCTCCTAACCCAGACTGCTAACTATTCTCCTGAGGAGGTAGAATTACAGGCAACGCCACTGAGTTGTTTTGGGAGGGAGTAGAAATTATTTGTAATATCTTTTAGGAAAAGAGACATTTATACCTTCTGATTTCGAAGCGATTAGTTTGGGACTTCTCTAGAACGTGCACCGGAGGAAAAACACTCACCCTTGCTGGACATGCTAACACACACGCTTCAAGCATTTGGGAGGCAGAGGCAGGCAGATCTTTGTTGAGTTTGAGACTACATAGTGAGAGCCAAGACTTCCAGGGCTACAAAGTGGGAGTCCATCTCAATACCACCCCCAAAGCCCCCCCCCCCCCCGAAAAGGCCCCTTCGGTTACTGTGTGTATGTGTATATGCCAGCCAAAGCCACAAGAGGGCGCTAAACCTCCTGCAGCTCAGGTTTCAAGAAGCAACGTAGGCACTGGGAGTCATACTCAGGGCCTCTGGAGAAACAGGGAGCACGCCTAGCCTCTGAGACTCATCTCTCTCGAACACCTTTTTTGTTTTTTTTTAAACACACGGTCTCAGTCTCACAGCGTTGCCCAGACTTTCCTGGAGGTTAGTTTCTGAAAAATGCAACACGGTTTGACTGTAGTTACATAGGCCTGGAATTCCAGCCCTCGAGATGTAGAGGCAAAAGGATTCGGATTCAGAGCTGGAGAACAGTCTCAATTAATAATGACTTTGCGGCCAGCCTAGAGTGCTCGAGACCCCCTGGCCCCGACACACAGGGATATCTTTACTGTGAATGACAGCACTCATGAGATTTCCACCACTCAGGACGCTGAAGCAGGTCAATTGCATGAGTTCTTCTCCGTCACACGGTAAGATCCTGTCTCAAAACAAAACAAAACCAAAAAATGCAAAATATACTTCCAAGCAAGAATCACAAGGATTTAGAGGTGGATGGACTTCGCCTGTCTGAGGGAAGATGCCTGTTATGCCACTGTTGGGCCTCCCATCAGGGTGGAGAACCGAGACGAAAGCCTTACCTGCAGATGTGGTGGACTCTAGCCAGTGTGTGTGTGTCCTTGAAGGCAGGGAGCCTGGCCAGCTTGCAGGTGAAGGTCTCAGCACACTTCAGCACCTGGGGAACAAGGTCTATCAAAACCAAGACACTCCCCCAACACACCCCCGTTCCCGATAGAAAAACTCGGTTCCGTTGACTAACGTGTCTGCTGCAAGTATTCTCTAACAGAAATCACCTAAAACATTGAGTTTTTCTCCTCGTAAAGAGGAAAAGCAGGGTTAGAAAGAAACAGAGAAAATTAGGCTGAGGATATAGCTGGTAAGGCACTTGCCTATCAGGACTGAGGCTCTCTGGGCTTGAGCCCCAGCACCATGCAAAAACAGGTCTGCCGGCACTTACCTGTGTTCCTGCACTTCAGGAGAAGGAGGATCAGGAGTTCAAGGCCATCTTCCTCTGCCCTCTTCAGAGTGGTCTGGATTATGTAAGACTGTCTCAAACAATGAAAAAGAGAGAACACAGGAAAGAGGAGTGTTTGCCTAAGCATACACTTGGGCTCACAGTGTGTAACTCTTGTCTGCCTCACGCCCACGAAGGCAGCAGAGATCCCTTGGACAGAGTCACAAGCTACCTTGTGGCTGCTGGGACCTGAACTTGGGACCTGCATAAGAGCAGCAAGAGATCTTATGAGCTCTGAGTCATCCCTCCAGGCCCTCTTCACCTCCTGCCCAGCTTCTTCAGACAGGGCCTTACTATATAGCATTGATTGGTTTAGGACTTACTATGTAGACTAGACTGGCCTCAGACTCACAGAGATCTGCTTGCCAGTGCTTCCCAAATGCTGGGGTAAAGGCGTGTGCTACTATACCCAACTTGTGTTTGTTGTTGTTGTTGTTGCTGTTGTTTTAAGTTACC